CAAAGGTTGCTGTAGGTGAGCACGAAATCACTACTTTCCTATAGGTATAGAAAAGGAGCCAATTTTCCTGTGGTGCTGTATTACTTAGGTGTTGGCGAAATTGATATGATTAATTTTGAATTATGCAGAGGGACAACCAGAGAGCATTGTTGAGGATATTGAAATGATGGTCCGCTCTTATGTGGAAAAAGTAAGACTACGTTCAAGCTTGATTAACTAACTACTTGAAAAATACAGAATTACTACTTATATTGAACTAGCGTTTGGCTTTGTACTAACAGTTAAAGTTGGTGGAGTTGGCGATTTACTTATGTGTTACCTTTGTACATCTACCATTTAAATATACGTCCATCAGCATGAAGCTCTTAATGTGATCATTTGTAGGAAATACAATATATCTTTTGCTGCTTTGCTTATAGGTATAGGGTGACAAAACAGAATTCATGTGGGCTTAAGAACATCAAGATCTAGAGCAAAGGAGGAAAAATAAATTTTAAAGCTCAAATTATCAACATCTTGATGATAATGGAGCCAGATATATGTGATATCTTCATGCGAACTGAGATTCACATTGTTGATGATTAACAAGGGGACATGTGGAATTGATGTGATCTTTTATTAGCATTGTGCTTACTAAAGGGCAACATAGCCTTGCTTTTCTTCTCATAAATATTACAATATAGCTGCAAGAACTGTAGGTTGTTTCTTAGCTAGAAAAGTGAGAGAAGCAGACTTGTCCAAGTTTCTATCTAGTTGCTACAAAAATTAATGAAATATAGCTTCACCGAACTGTAGGTTGTTCTGAGGTTACAAAAGTGAGAAAACTATGTCTTGTCCACATTTCTTACTGATTGCTACCAAAATAATACATGTAGGCACTTACTGTCACTTGAACACTCTCCTATTACTTTATACCAGACAATCAACATGATCTATGTCTTGGGCAAGCCCTTGCATAAGATTGATGCTTAACATGGACATTCGGTAGTAATATAATGTTTCAAATTTTGCATTATGTTTACAAAAGGACATGATTAACTCGTGTTCTCAGCAAGAAAACTGAGAGAAACAAGACCTGTCCAAATTTCTTACTTATTGCTGAGGAAATAATGAAATATACGCTGATGCTCTTACTGTCCAAACAACTTAGCCTCACATGTGTTTTTCAGCAAGAAAACTGAGAGAAACACTTACAAATTGCTGCCAAAATAATGAAATATACTCTGATGCTCTTACTGTCCAAACAACTTATTTGCTCTCCTATTACTTTGCACAAGACAATCAACAACAAGTATTGTTGCTAGCCTCTCAACTAGCGTTAGACCCCATAAAGCCTTCATTCTGCCGATATGTGCTCTTCATGAAAGAATATGTTATTCCATGAGCTCATCTCTCGATAATCGGTGTATTATAAAGCAAACTACGTTAGTGTTCCATTTATTTTTACCAGTGGGAGTATATTTAAAGTGTCTTGTCCTAATCACAGATAAAATTTATATAAATTCTCCTAGTCTCCCCCTGAAAGGAATACCATTTGAGGTGCTCACTCATGTGTGCTAAAAAAGCTCGCTAACTTAATAAACAGCAAGTTGTAGAGGAACATACTACCAAGGTTACCGTTGTGATTGTAACGTGTAACCTCATTATCTTGTCTGATTGGAACTCTTAAACCAAAAAAACTGTTAATCTAGATCTAGTTAATAATGTTATCATGAATAGATGTGCTCCGGTGCTGTTAGGTTACTCCCCCCCAACTCCTTTTTCCTCCAGCTATCTTCTTTGGGATCTGCTCTGTTGTTCCTCCCACAACTTCAGCACCCACAAGCTTCTTTTGAGTTTGTCTTGAACAGTGTATTACATGTTTGCTTTTCTAAACTGAGCTTTTAGGGCAATAGCATGTGGAGGTAAGATTCAGGCTCTCTTTTCTTTTTCCTTTTTATGAATAAGTAAAATTCCCACTCTCTTACTCCTTGATATACTCTTTCATGGTAGAAATAAACATCCTACCTTTATCTGAAATATTTCTTCGATCAGTGTCAGCATAAGCTACTTCTCTGGAATGTTAAAGAACATTTGGACCTTATCTTCAGGGATAGAGTGTGGTGAAGTTGCATGTTATTGATGAAAGAGTGTCAAAATTATTTCTTGTTTCTAAACTATACTTTGAAGCTACTAACAAGCATGAGTTATCATGTCCTATCTATAGCATGTTTAAACTTTATGTGCTTTTTGTACTAGCCCAATTGCATCATATTGGCTATTTCTCCAGCCAATCAAGATATTGCAACTTCTGACGCAATAAAGCTTGCAAGAGAAGTCGATCCTTCAGGTATTATGGTGGGATATGCTAATTTTGTACTTCCAATAGGCTGCTAAAATGGGGCGGGTGTCTGATTGTACTTCATACTATATTCATATTTCAGGTGAAAGAACATTTGGAGTTTTAACAAAACTTGATCTGATGGATAAGGGAACCAATGCCTTGGATGTATGATCCATCCTTTTCCAGAAATTGCCTGACTTACACAAGTTTGTGATCCTTGAAATACTTATTGTCTACTATATTCTTTACTTATTTTTAGTTTTATTGATGTTTAAGGTACTTGAGGGTCGATCATACAAGCTCCAACATCCATGGGTTGGAATTGTTAATCGTTCACAGGCTGATATCAACAAGAATGTAGATATGATGGCCGCTCGTCGGAAGGAGCAGGAATATTTCGAATCCAGTCCTGAATATGGACATCTTGCTCATAAAATGGGAGCTGAATATCTTGCAAAACTTCTATCTAGGGTAGGTTTTCCTTTTTGGCTTTCAAATATTCCTTTTTGGGTTAAGAATTCCCTGAATTACCATTATTTACCTTTCCTTTTTTCCTTTTTGAAATTTCAGCACTTGGAGACTGTGATCAGACAGCGAATACCAAGCATTATTGCTCTAATAAATAAGACAATTGATGAGCTTAACTCTGAGTTGGACCGAATTGGCCGACCTGTTGGTGTAGATGGAGGGGTAATTACAGTATATGATTAAATCTGAGAACTAATGGTAATTGGGAGCTGCTTTTCTTATTTATTAACTTGAAGTAATTTCTTCTTTCTACAGGCACAGCTGTACACCATTTTGGAAATGTGCCGTGCATTCGATCGAATATTTAGAGAACACCTGGAAGGAGGGTAATGCTTAACAGTTAGAACTTCATGACATAGAATCACAGAATGCTAGTACTTCTTTGGGATTGAGGCATAGTTGATTGATTTAATCTTGTTCGATCATGAATTGACATGCTGAACTTATTAGATGAAGTTACAGTGATTACCTGAGTTCAAGGGGCCAGGAGTATCATGCTCTATATGACTTTACTATTATTACGTATATTATTTGATTGTAAAATGTTCTAATTTCTAATAAAAGGGATACTAGCTATACTTTCTTTTATCTCAGGAGGCCAGGTGGCGATAGAATATATCGTGTCTTTGACCATCAGCTTCCAGATGCTCTTAAGAAGCTTCCATTTGATCGTCATCTTTCAACGAGTAATGTCAAAAAGGTTATTTCTGAGGCAGATGGATACCAACCTCACTTAATTGCTCCTGAGCAAGGGTATAGAAGGCTAATTGATGGATCCCTTGGCTTCTTCAAAGGCCCCGCTGAAGCCTCAGTTGATGCAGTAAAGTTCTTAATTTTGATTCTTGTTTAAAATGTTTGTCTTGTTCAGTGTTATATATCTGTGGTAGACATTACGCTAAGTTTCATCAAAATCCTGCTTTGTGGAAATCAGAAAGCTTTGATTTTATCAATTAGCTAGTTCAAACAGTATGAGGTAATGTAGATTAAAAAGGAGGAAAAATAGAAGGTAATCCGAAATGTCCACACGGACACGCATATAATTTGTCTTTTTACAGAAGATGACAGATATGTAGTTCAATATGCTTAATTCCATATTTCTTTTGCATCTTTACTTATGAATGTTGAAGTATTTAAATTACTATTCTTCTGTATTTTTATCAATTACAACTATTTTAGGTTCGGATCTCATGAAGCCTTTGGATCTAGCACGTATCATGGTAGTGTTTTACTTCTTCAAAGATAATTGTTTTTTTTTGCTTTGCAGGTGCACTCCATTCTGAAAGAACTTGTGAGGAAGTCAATCGTAGAGACCCAGGTAAAGCAGACGTCTTCTGTAAACCTTGCTCTGCTGATTGGAATTATGTTGTTCTTCCCACAGGTTTGCTTGTTTATCAATAGGAACCTGGAGCTGATCCTTTTGATCATTCTTCAAATATTTAACCCAAAAACTGTAGCTATTTCTGCTAGCTTATGTTTCAGAAAGCACAGCCCGACTTGTTAAAGATAGCTTCAGATTTCCTGCTATTTCATTTTTATGGCTCTCAACTGAATCCAAAAGGATTACTATACGTTTCGGTTTGCTGCAATATTAGTTTGAAACTGTAGTAATTATATCTACTAATATTTCTTAACATAGTACTTATCCATTTGTATCATGATAAGTTGTAAAATGTTCACATGCATCATCACAATTCGTCCAGAAGATATCAGATCACACAAGGAGTTGGATTCGAATTGTTATCCTAGTTGTCCTTCGAGGATTTATGTAGTAGTGCTTTTAGGTATATATTCCTTTCTTTGTCTTTTAATTCTTAACTATGGAAGATTTTGAAGTATGATTGTAGGAATTTGTGCAGTCACTAGACACTGGATTTCTGTCTTAGATTTGTGAAGAGGATGGAAGAATTCTGTGTTGACAAAAGCTATTCGAAGTTCATCAATGAGTAGTGTTAGTGCATGAGAGTCAGAAAATTTTGTTGAGAAGAAGAATACAGTGTTGGTTCTATGTTTCCTCCCCTGATATTTTCTTAGTGATGCGCAATGTTCAGAAATCATCATGATCTACTTGTTAATTATCATGTGCATTCAAATCTTGTTTATGTTACTAAGAACTTAAAGGGAAGTTTCTTCCAAACTAAAGATTATGATCTTAGGAGGGAAAAGGAATCATGCCTATCTAAGCCCTGACCATAGATTCTGGCCAAAGAGAAAAAGAATAGCAACTCTTTTATGATCAGTTCTTGCCTATCCATCTTTCATAAATGCTTCTATATAAGAGGCCCAAACTTCATCTACTGAAAATACTAGGTCAATCAGAACATCAAGCTGACCTTTAGAAGATGAAAAGGTGATAATTCTAACCTAGAATATCCCTATGCAGGAACTGAAACGTTTTCCAACACTTCAATCTGATATAGCAGCGGCAGCAAATGATGCTCTTGAGAAATTTCGTAATGAAAGTCGAAAAACAGTTTTACGGCTGGGGGAGATGGAGTCTTCTTACCTGACAGTTGAATTCTTTAGGAAGCTTCAGACTGAACCAGAAAAACCCCCCCAAAACCAGGCACAAGCAGCAGCGCCAAATGTAGACCGGTATTCAGATAATCATCTAAGGAGAATTGGTAAGTATCATCAGATTGCTTTGCCCTTTTCATTCCATCGATACATATAACCATATTCGGAGAATTGGTAAATAGTATATTGTTCGCGTTTTCTTTTCAAAGATCGCAGACTTCATTGTAGATTCCCCCCAGTAGGATACTTTAGTGAAACATATCCGTTCCGTTCTACGAAAGTAGAAAAACTGACTTAAAGACATACAGTGTCTAAATTATGTTGCTTCATCTGCAACAGGTTCAAATGTCTCTGCTTATATTAATATGGTCTGTGAAACATTGAGGAATACTATTCCTAAGGCTGTTGTCTTTTGCCAAGTCAGAGAAGCAAAGAGGTCATTATTAAATCAGTTCTATGCTCAAGTCGGAAGGAGAGAGGTAAAGTATTCGAGATTTTCCAAGTGTTTCCTCAGTTTTTATTTCCCTGGGAGACTTCTGTAGCGAAAAGGATAAGTAAAGTTTTACGCTAAATGTAGATTATACTATCTGATCATCATGGCAAACCCTTACATGATCATGTCTCTATTATGAAAAACGTTTGATACTCAATAAACGTGATACAGAATATTCAGATTTAGAGATGCTAATGCAAAATGGATGATGGATACAGAATAAAACACGAGAGAGAAACTAAAGTCAATAGAGTAGAGCTCTGATTTCTTCATTTTTTTGTAATCTTATCAATCTGTTAAGATCTTTTAGTATCTGAAAAGATGAAGGTGAGGGTTATAGATATTTCTTTGCTGAATCCTAGATGTTTTGTGTGAGGAAACCTTAGACCACAAGGGGAAGGGGGTTTGCTAGTGTAGAGAAAATGATAAATATTTGACATTTCCTAGAAAGAAAATAAGTTATGTTCTCTAAATGTATGTACAGAAGGAGCAGCTGGGGAAAATGTTGGATGAGGATCCCTCTCTCATGGCAAAGAGAGAGACTATAGCCAAAAGGCTTGAGCTATATAAGTCAGCCAGAGATGAGATTGATGCAGTTGCATGGAAATGATGAGTTCCAGTTTTTCTTATTTGAAAAAAAAAAATTCTCATTTTCTGGATAGAGTATAAAATAAAGTAGTAGGAGATGAAAGCATTGTTATGCCTGTGGCTAATCTTGCAAGGATGTTTTTCTCGATGCCAATATACCCTTCTTGCAATAAGGAAGGATTTCAGTTTCAAAATGTCCTACTTGGTAAATTCTTGTTTGGTGGTGCAAAATTACCAATTTAATTTCTTTATTTGTTATTCTTTCATTCTTTGTAATTCTAAGGGATTAGTCCAGTTTTGCTTCTGCGGAGCATCACATGCCAGGAAAATTGGAGGAAAAGCTTTTATGTTTTTCGGTAACAGTCAAATTTCAATGAGTTATGATGGAATTATTGCTTCTGACTTCTGATCGTCTTTCATATTTTCCAGAGATGTCATTTTCCATTTTGTACTATGATCTAGTCCAACATAACCAATTAAATTGGTTCTTGTGCCTGATAGTGATAAACTAAATTAATATTTTGTAGTACTTCACTTTGTACGTTTTCATATAATGTTGACTACAAGGTGTAGTCCTGGTTACCTTTTTTATACAATTTCATAATGCTTCTCTATGCTTATATTGTTTAGGATACTAGGACTAAGGTTATTGCAAAATGTTATGTTAGATGAAAATGTAATACAAAATTCCAATAAGATGGTTAAAATGGATGCAGATTACGTACAGAGTCTTATGCGGCAGAAGAATATTACAGATCAAAATGAGCAATTGTGTGATTAGCAATACTATATCAAAGTGAATGTTGGGCATCTTGGGCTCAACAAACTCACAAAATGAGTATGTAAAAAACGGAGTGAAACAGCAATAGGGCATTTCGGTATCACTGTTGATTTTCTGACCATGCTTACCCTATGGCAGAATTTCAAGTTTAATAATCCCCGCATGTCCCATAAGTAACACTTTTAATTTTTGACTTTAAATGTTTGTCCGTGGGGTAAGCAGGAATCAAAAAATTAAGACCATCTGTATACGGTCGAAATTGATTTCGACCTTCGTACGATTGATCGAGATGGGATCATAATGGACCAAAGGAAGACTTCGTAATATCGAGATGGGTTCCGAAGATGGTACGAACGAGCTTCAGATTTCAGGTACAGGTCAAACACCAAGTTCGAAGTCATTATCGAGCTCGGGTCCGAATCGAACTATGATGAGATGTTATGGAATCGAGCTTAAGGGGCAAAGGCCAACCGATACCGAGCCCGAGTCATTACCAGACCCCGAGTCGGCATCGAGCTCAAGTCCGCATCGAGCTCTAAAAATAATACCGACCAGCACCAAGTCCGATCAAGCTCGAGCTCACAGACAAGAGCCGTTGCAACCGCACTAAGGGAGAGAATCTCGGCGAGAATTAGGGAAAAACTGATTTTTTATGGGTTCTCCACTATATATTTTTAATTATATCTAAAGTAGGATCCTCCAGTATAAAGAGGACTGCTATATTTCTGTAAATGACAGTTTTTGCTTACATTATAACTAAAATATCATACACTCCTATATTGAAGGGTTATTCTTTTTGGCTTCAAAGATTGATTCATATTGCTTAGTCCTTAAATCATCTCCTTTCCAACCTTGTGTGTATTTTTCATTCTTTACAATCCGTATTTGATACTTTGTATTTATCCTTATGATTTGTATTAAGTTATACCACATATCCTTAGAACAACGTACAAATTCAACTCTATCTATTTTTCGGGTAAACAGTTTGGCGCCCACCGTGGGGCCAAGGATAACAGTGGTTATTTGATACGAATCTGCAAAAACACGCCGTTTTGCGCTTGTTTCCGGAAGTGATTTTGATTTCGGATTAGCAACGACTAACTATCAATTAAATGGCCTTACCTATCGACAACGAAGCTGGTCTTCAAGATGAGAACAACAACTTGACACCCAGTACTGAAAGGCCGCTTGTCAACGCCGTTGGAGCTCGAATCGAAGTGTTGATAGACATTAATTCGCATGTGGCCATTGAGGAGAGCCTACATTCTGAACCTGAAAATAGCATACATGGTGGCACTCGATCTGCAGTCGAGATACCCTTAACATTGAGAAAAATAGCGTCAACTTGCATATGATTTTCGAAATGTTGCAAGCTCAACAAGCAGTAATAGCTCAGTTGCAGAGTCAAACCCAGATACCGAGCAGGCCGGAGCCCAGTCAACCTCGAGAAATCGCCCATACAACGGAACCAGCTATAGTGAAATCAAATGATCAGGAGTCGGGGACTAATCCCAAAATTGCTAAGATGTTCGAAGAACAGACCAAACGAATAGAATCGGGAGAAAGGAGGATCGAAGCAAACGACAAAAAGGTGAAAACATATAACTCCATGGTTGATCAGATCCCGGGGGCACCACCAATATTGAAGGGCTTAGATTCCAAAAAATTCATACAAAAGCCTTTCCCCCCAACCGCGGCTCCTAAACCGATCCCAAAGAAATTCCGCATGCCCGAGATTCCTAAATATAATGGAACTACCGACCCCAATGAACATGTCACCTCATATATATGTGTCATCAAAGGGAACGATCTAGAGGATGATGAGATCGAATCCGTATTATTGAAGAAATTCGGTGAAACCCTGTCAAAGGAAGCAATGATATGGTATCATAATTTACCATCTAATTCTATCGATTATTTTGCTATGCTTGCAGATTCTTTCGTAAAAGCACACGCCGGGGCCATAAAAGTCGAGACCAGGAAGTCGGACCTATTCAAGGTAAGACAAAAGGATAACGAGATGCTAAGGGAGTTCGTATCTCATTTTCAAATGGAGCGAATGGATTTGCCACCAGTCACACACGATTGGGCTATTCAGGCTTTCACTCAAGGTTTGAACGGACAAAGTTCAACGGCTTCATGGCGGTTGAAGCATAACCTGATCGAGTACCCAGCTATTACTTGGGCCGACGTGCATAATCGGTACCAATCAAAAATTGGGGTCGAAGACGATCAGTTGGGGTCTGAACCCGCTGCTCGAAGGGATATCAATCGAGAACAAGGTCCGATCAGGAACCGATACCGACCGCATAGTGGAAATCACAGAATCAATGAATCGATATGTAACCCCGGACAAAGAAACAAAAGAAGTGATCGAGGTCAAGGGTCTCGGGGGCTGATGAACAGAAATGGGTTCGACATGCCTACCGGTTCGAAGGAAGCACCACGGTTATCAAAGTATAACTTTAGCATTGATGTATCTGCCATCGTGTCAGTTATCGGATGCATCAAAGACACTAAATGGCCTCGATCCATGCAGACCGATCCTGCCTAGAGGAATCCCAATCAAATGTGCGAATATCATGGCACTCATGGCCACAGAACGGAAGATTGCAGATAACTAAGAGAGGAGGTAGCCCGGTTATTCAATAAAGGGAACCTTCGAGAATGTTTGAGCGACAGGGCCAAGAACCATTTCAAAAATAGGGATTTCGGCAAACAAAACGAACAAGAAGAACCACAGCACATCATCCACATGATCATCGGGGGCGTCGATACCCCTCAAGGGTCGGTGCTTAAATGCACTAAGACATCGATTATGAGAGAAAAGTGAACTCGAATTCATGATTACGCTCCCATAGGAACTTTGTCCTTTAATGATGAAGATGCAGAAGGAGTCATGCAACCTCATAACGATGCACTGGTAATATCCGTACTTATGAATAAAACTAAAGTTAAGCGTGTGTTAATTGATCCAGGTAGCTTGGCCAACATTATTAGATCNGAATTCATGATTACGCTCCCATAGGAACTTTGTCCTTTAATGATGAAGATGCAGAAGGAGTCATGCAACCTCATAACGATGCACTGGTAATATCCGTACTTATGAATAAAACTAAAGTTAAGCGTGTGTTAATTGATCCAGGTAGCTCGGCCAACATTATTAGATGATGATCAAAGGATCCCTCGATCCTTCGTGGTTCCCGATGATTCCGACGCTACCTAATAAACGGTTGAAGAATTAGAGCAAGTCATACTAATCGAGCATTTGCCTGAACGAAAGGTATACTTGGGAATGGGATTAACCCACGAACTCAGGAAAAGGCTTATTCAATTTCTTATCGATAACATAGATTGTTTTGCTTGGTCCCATTTAGATATAACAGGGATCCTACCGGATATAACGACGCATCGACTAAGCCTGGACCCTAGGTTCAAATCGGGGAAGCAAAAGAGAAGACCCTAGTCCGAGGTAAAGCACGTATTCATAAAGGACGAGGTAACTAAACTTCTCAAAATAGGGTACATTCGGGAGGTGAAATATCCCGAGTGGTTAGCCAATGTAGTTGTAGTCCCTAAAAAAGGGAACAAACTTAGAATGTGTGTAGATTATAAGGATTTAAACAAGGCATGCCCCAAAATTCTTTTTCGTTGCCCAACATCAATCGCATGATCGATGCCACAGCCGGCCACGAGGTCCTTACTTTCTCGATGGCTATTCCGGGTATAACCAAATCCAAATGAACCCGGAAGACCAGGAAAAGACTTCATTTGTCACCAAGTATGGAACATATTGTTATAATGTGATGCCCTTCGGGCTAAAAACTGCAGGAGCTACTTACCAAAGCCTAGTAAATAAAATGTTTGAGGAACAAATAGGTAAATAAATGAAAGTTTATATTGATGACATGCTAGTTAAGTCACTACGCGCAGAGGACCATTTGGCTCATTTGCAGGAAACATTCGAGATTTTAAGGAAATACAACATGAAGCTCAACCCTGAGAAATGTGCTTTCGAGGTCGGTTCGGGCAAGTTTCTCAACTTCATGGTATCAAATCGGGGGATCGAGATAAACCCCGATAAAATCAAGGCCATCGAAGATATCCCCGTCGTGGATAGTGTAAAAGTCGTGCAGAGGCTAACGGGATGGAGTGATGCATTAGGCCGATTCATTTCAAGGTCGTCAGATTGAAGTCACAAATTTTTCTCTCTACTCAAAAAGAAGAACGATTTCGCTTGGACTCCGGAATGCCAACAGGCATTAGAGGAATTAAAGCGATATCTATCGAGCCCGCCACTGCTTCATACTCCAAAAACAGACGAAAAACTTTTCTTATACTTGGCAGTATCTGAAATCGCGGTAAGTGGTGTCATAGTCGAGAAGAGCAAGGTACGCAATTTTCCGTTTATTA